TCTCCATGAAACCGGGAGATGATGTGAAACCGGTCCTTGACAAGATCAAGGACACCTATGCGAGGATGGCAGCGGCGGGCAGCGAAGTGTCGCAGATGCAACAGTGCACCAAGATCATCTCGGTGCTCGACAACTCGTGGGACAACCTCATCCCCACCCTCAACGTTCAGCAGGACAAATGGACGCCTGAGTGGCTACGGCAGCAGATTCTGCAAGAGGACTTCCGCAGGCGCCACACGGGAGGTGGTGCTGCCAACAAAACTGCTGAGGGGTATGGAGCTGCAGGAGGCAGCAGAGGAAGAGGGGGAGGGAGAGGCCGAGGCCGTGGGAGAGGCTTTGGCAGAGGGAGAGGCCGAGGTGACTACAATGAGGGGCATGGGAGCTCTGGTGGCAGGGGGAGCACCCGAATGGAGGGTGCGTGCTGGTACTGCAAGAAGGCTGGACACCCGTGGTTCAAGTGTTTCAGCCGGCCTGAGGGATGGGCCCCTCCAGGCATGAAGCCGCCAAGTGGTGAACGTGCACGCGGTGGCGCTGTGCAAGGATCAGGTGCACAAGGTGATGGTGCACAAGGTAAAGCCGACCCTGGGATGTTCCTCATGGTTGAGGATGTGCAAGGGAGTGGGGGTGATATGGGTTCAGTTGGGAAGGTTGTGATGCACCCCCTCACTCACTGGGTGATCGATTCAGGTTGCACGAGTCATATGACCCCACGGGCAGATTTGCTTGATGAGGTAAAACCTCCTGGGAAGATCAAGTTTGTGGCTGCCGCTTCAGGTGCTTTGCTCCCTGTGATTGGTGTTGGGAATGCTAAGGTGATGGGAGCCAATGGAGAGCTTGTGGGGCTTGGGAATGTGCTGTTGGTTGAAGGTTTGTCCGCTAACCTTCTTTCTGTGCGCCGGCTGCAGAAGAGCAAGGCTGAAGTTACCTTCGGCCCAACCAGCTGCCGTGCAAAGCTTGGGAAGTTGCTGCTGTGGAACTTGGAGGAGAAGAGCAGCTGCATCAAGGACTTGTGGCAGCTGCCCATCATCCCTTGGAAGGGGAAACCACCAGCAACGGCAAAGGCAGCGGCAGCGGCTAAAGCAACTGCGGGAGGAGAGGAGACTGCACCAACTGCTGGGGCCCTGGATGCAGTCAAGAAGGTGCAGCAGCCACAACAGCCACATGGTGAGGTGCTTGCTGGTGTGGATGCGACAGCTGCATGGGCAAAGGCTTCATCTGGGAGTGGTGAGGCTGATTGGGAGACGTGGCATGAGAGGCTGTGCCATGTGAACATTCCTATGCTGCAGAAGTTGGTAAAGGATGGGTGCTTGAAGGGGCTGGAGGTGAAGGGGGGAGCAAAGGAGATTGGGAGCTGCCCTACCTGCCTTGAGACCAAATTCACGAAGTTTCCCTTCAGCAGCAGCACAGGACCAGCCAAGGCACCACTTGAACTAGTGCACATGGATGTGGTGGGCCCCACGAGGGCCCTTTCTCTCTCGGGCAGCCGCTACTTCTTGACGATTGTGGACGACCACACGCGTGCGGTGTGGGTGTACCCTCTCAAGACTAAGGGGGAGGTGGCAGCGGCTGTTCTTAAGGAGTGGATGCCGAGAGCACAAAGGGAAAGCGGACACAAGGTGAAGGTGATCCGCACTGACAACGGAGGAGAGTTCATCGGCGCTGATTTTGAGAAGGAGCTGAAGCGGAAGGGGATCCAGCATCAGCTCACAGTGCCTTACAACCCTCAGCAGAATGGCGTGGCTGAGCGGTTCAACCGGACCCTGCAGGAAGGTGCTCGCACTCTCCTTGGGCGTGCAGGGCTGCCGGATCCGTTTTGGGTGACAGCACTGCGGCAGGTCGTTGTTGTGAAGAACAGGGTGCTGGCGACTGTGGGGGACAAGCAGTGGGTCCCCTACACCAAGTGGTATGGGATTGCACCAGCTGTGAACATGCTGAGAGCCTTTGGGTGCATGGTGGTGTTTCATGTGCCTAAGGAGAAGAGGGGAAAACTGGAAGCTTCTGGGAGATGGGGTGTGCACTTGGGGCTTGCTAAGGATCACAAGGGCTGGCTGATTTGGGACTTGACCAGCCAGCAGCTGACTGTGTCAAGGGATGTGAAGTTCCTTGAGTCCTTGTACTACAAGGAGTGGAAGCAGCAGCAGCAGCAGAAGCTTCCAACGACACCGCTAATTGTCGAGGCCGATGAGGTGCAGCGGCCTTCAAGGCAAGTGGAGGTTTCTGTCTCTGAGAATGAGATCTCTGGGGTGACAGAGGATGGGGGAGAACCTGAGGTGGAGGAGCAGCAGCAGCAGCAACAGCAGCAGCAGCCGCAGCAGCAGGAGGAGCAAGGTGCTCCACAAGGTGCCGGACGTACGGCTGACCGTCCTAGGAGGGATGTGCGCCCTCCTAACAGGCTGACCTATGCAAGCCGTGGCAAGCCAAAGGTGGTAAGGGCTGGGAGTGTGGCTGAGCAGTGTGATGAGGATGAGATAGCACACTGCTACTGGGCAGCCGTCCCTGAGCCCAAGACGCTAGCTGAGGCATTGAGCGGGCCCGATGCTGAAAAGTGGAAGCAGAGTGTGAAGGAGGAGTATGATTCTCTGCTAGAGAATGAGATGTGGGAGCTGTGTGAGCTGCCACCTGGGAAGAAGGCCATTTCTTCCAAGCTGATTTTCAGGCACAAGTACGGACCTGATGGGGCGCTGACCCGCTACAAGTCAAGGCTTGTGGCTAAGGGGTTTCAGCAGACAAAGGGAAAGGACTTCAACGAGCTCTATGCTCCTGTGGGGAAAGGCACAACACTTCGGGTGTCATTGGCAATGGCAGCATACCGTGGATGGCGGGTGAAGCAGATGGACATCACCACCGCCTTCCTCAATGGGATCATTCTGGAGGAGCTGTACATGTTACAGCCTGAGGGTTTGGATGATGGGAGCGGCAGGGTGTGCAGGCTGAAGAAGGCCATCTATGGCCTGAAGCAGGCTCCTCGTGCATGGTACCACAAGTTAGAGGAGACTCTGCTGGCTGGGGGTTTCAAGAAGAGTGAGTGTGATCACAGCTTGTTCCTGCTGCAGGAGAAGGAGCAGTTTCTCATGCTCCTGGTGTATGTGGATGACATCCTGCTCTTCTTTGAGTCGTCTGCAATGATTGAGCATGTGGAGGAGATGCTGGAGATGCAGTTTAAGTGCTCCAAGATGGGAGATGTGAAGTACTATTTAGGGATGCATGTGGAGAGGGACCTTGACAAGGGAGTGTTGAGGTTGCACCAGAGAAAGTATTGTGAGGGGCTGGCTGAGAAGTATGGGCTGCAAGATGGAGGAAAGCCAGCCACCCCACTGCCTTCGGGGTTCACTGTGGAGCCCTGTGCTGATGAGGAGGTGGTGGGTGAGATTGACAGGAAACTTTTTCATTCCATGGTTGGGGCACTCAACTATGCGGCTAACCACACACGGCCTGACATTGCCTTTGCAACATCCAGGCTTGCCAGTGTGGTTTCACGCCCCAGTCATGAGCAGCTGGAAGCGGCCAAGAGGTTGGTCCGCTATGTGAGTGCAACGGCATCAGTGGGTTTGGAGTACAGTGCTGTGAGGCAGAGGCTGCAGAGGAGTGCAGCTGATTTGAGCAAGGGGGAGATGCTCCTGACCTGCTACACTGACGCTAGCTTCAACTCGGTGAAAGCGGATGGCACCAGCATTGGAGGCTATGTGTGCCTGTTCGGAGGTGGTGCAGTGAGCTGGCGCAGTAAGAAGCAGAATGAGGTGGGGCAGTCCTCGTGTGAGACAGAGTACATGGCCCTGCATCATGGGGCAAAGGAGGTGGTGTGGCTGAGGCGTTTGTTGGAGGAGATTGGAGTTGGTCAGAGGGAGCCGACTGTGATTTTCTGTGATAATGAGTCGGCGGTGAAGCTAGCGAAGAATGCTTGTCTTCATGGGCTGACCAAACACATCAGGCCTAAGTGGCACTGGGTGAGAAGGCTCCTGGACAAGGAGGTGCGGCTGGAGATTGTGAAGACCCATCAGCAGGCGGCTGACATTCTCACCAAGCGCCTGGCTGAATCTGAGCATTGGAAGGGCATGAAGCTTGCTGGGATGAGTGTGCATTGAGGATGCATGCTTGAGCTATGGCATGTGGGATGATGGTTGGCAGCCAGAGGGGGAGTTTGTTGAGTGATGCTACCATTCGCATTCACGTCTGTCTGCCTCCCATCATATGTTCGTGCGTTGCATGCGTGTTGTGAGTGTGTGCAAGAATTTGTGTTTTGTGCGGTTTGGTTTTTCTGAGTGTGTGTGTGAATGTTATTTGGCTTGAGCAGATATCTGAAGTGACTCCTCTGCTCAAGAGCTTTCCGAGGAACCAAGTATCGCTTCAATCGGAGCACGAACTAGAAAGTTACGAACGTTGGAGTTCGTATGCTTTTGATATTTGGTTGTGGTGACTATGGGAAGTTGTGGGGTTGACTCAATATGGGGTACAGACTTTTGGGGGTTGGGAAATTCGTCTTTTCTACTGTAGTTGCTGCCAAATGGTTGGGAGAAACCAAACCAGGTTGGCAAGTGTGGCCAAGTTGGGTTGAGGTGGATTGTGGAGGTTGGGATAGTGACAAAGGTCAAAGTTGGGTTGCCTATGGGGAAGGGAATTGTATGGCATGGGGTTTCCTTGGTTGGGGACTCTCTTGGGACCTTCCCTCTCGTCCTCCTCATCCCCTCCTACCTGGTTCTATTGCTACTCTAACTTTCTTGTGTGAACTTGTGAGATCATTGTGATTGAGTTACGTTTTCTATGGCAGCATACCCCCTAGTGCGCCGAAGTTCATAACTCGAGTTATACTCCATATTCTGATACTATTCAAATTGGGAAAGATAGCCACGGTCAAGGGCTACAACATACTCGAGTTTGAAAGAATTCTAACAGTGGACCTTTCGTCGACGACGTTTCTTGTGACGACGACTTTTCTGTCCAGAATTGTAGTTGACGATTTTGAGATATTTCAGCCCCTAATCTTCATAGACTCCGTCCTTAGTCTATAACAGGGGGGGGGGGTGCTGTGCATGGCGCGTGCAGAGGGCAGCAGGGCGCACGGGGCGCACAGTGCAGCAGGGCGCGCGGGGCGCACAGGGCTGCAGGGCGCGCGGGGCGCACAGGGCAGCAGGGCAGCAGGGCGCACGGGGCGCACAGGGCAGCAGGGCGCGCGGGTTGGCCACACCCGCCACCCCCATACCCTCCCCCACTGCTGCACCCGCAGCAGAGAGATGGGGGGGGGGGGGGGGGGGGGGCGGGGGGGGGCAGGCAGGTGCTGTAGGTCCCCTCCCCCCACTGCCGCATCCGCTCCAGGGGGATGGCAGATCCCCTCCCCCCCACTGCTGCACCCGCAGCAGGGGGAGGGAGAGGAGAAAAGGGCGGAGAGGAGGGGGGGGTCCAGGGGCGGCTGCTCCAGGGGCCAGGGGCGGCTGCTGAGGTCTAGGAGCGGCTGCACCAGGGGCGGCTGCTCCAGGGGCGGCTGCTCCAGGGGCGGCTGCTCCAGGGGCGGCTGCACCAGGGGCGGCTGCACCAGGGGCGGCTGCTCCAGGGGCTGCTGCACCAGGGGCGGCTGCTCCAGGGGCGGCTGCACCAGGGGCGGCTGCTCCGACGCACGGCCCCCCCCTCCAGGTCGCCCCCCCTCGTCGCCTGTTGAGGCGACCTGAGGGGGGGGGGGGGGGAGGGGGGGGGGGGGGGGGGGAGGAGTACGGGGGGCCGACGCGCGGCCTCCCAGGGCGCCAGAGCAGGCGGAAGAAGGGGCGACGCGCGCCCCCCCAGGTCGCCCCTCCCGTCGCCTTGCGTGGCGAGCGGGAAAAGGGGGGGGGGGCGGTGCACGGGCCCCTGGTGCGCCACGACCGGCATGAGGGGGGCGGGGCCTGGGCAGGGTCGGGGCATGGCAGGGGCAGGGCAGGGCCGTGACAGGCTCGGGACAGGGGCGGCGCCGGGCGACGGGGCCTGTACGGGGGGGGGCCGCGACGGGGGCCTGCGACAGGGGGCCGCGACGGTGGGCCGCGACGAGGGGCCGCGACAGGGTTGGGGCAGGGCCGGGGTCGGGGCAGGTCCGGGACGAGGCCGCGACAGGGTCGGGGCAGGTCCGGGACAGGCCGCTAAGGGGCCGCGACGGGCCTAACGGGCCGCGAAGGGGCCGCTGAGGGTCGTAAAGGGGGGCCGCGAAGGGGCCTAACTGGCCGCGAAGGGGCCGCGACGGAGGCCTAACGGGCCGCGAAGGGGCCTAACGGGCCGCGAAGGGGCCGCGACGGGGGCCTAACGGGCCACGAAAGGGGGTCGCGACGGGCCTAACGGGCCGCGAAGGGGGCCTAACGGGCCGCGAAGGGGCCTAACGGGCCGCGAAGGGGGCCGCTACGGGCCACAAGGGGGCCTCTACGGGCCGCAAGGGGGCCACTACGGGCCGTGCAGGGGGCCTAACTGGCCGCGAAGGGGTCTCGAAGGGCAGGCGCGACGCGCGCCTCGGGCAGGTAAGGAAAAAAAAGTTGAAGATGTGGTGGGCCCTTAGGAAGGATCGAAATTGCTCTATACCATGTGAGAATCGAGAATGAATGAGAAAGAATGATTGCACTAGAAAGCATTGGGATACATATAGCAAACCCTAACAGGGTTGTACTCACTACAGAGTACCCCACTGCAGACTAGAGAAACATAATATTCTGACATAAAATCCACATGCCATCGACTTTGTTCGCCTCAGGAGGGGGAACTGCGTTGACGTAGGTGCCTGTGGCTTCCAGGATGCCATCTCTGCGTCCATGGCTGTCTGCCACTGAGAGGAGTAGGGACCCGTAAACGCCTCTGCGATACTCAAAGTCCTCCTGCCTGTCCTCGTGCCAAGAGCACACTCACCCCCGACGGACGGAGGACAGTCAGACCCAGACTCAGCAACAAGACTAGCGACGTAGTCGAGACGACATGCGGTAGCAAAGTCAACAAGCTCAGCAACTAGGGCAGACGCAGCAGTTGACTCAGACGAAGGGTCAGTGACAACAGTGGCTAGAAGACGCGCGAAAGTAGGACTGGCAGCACGAACTAAGTCAAACTCAAGGTCCGGACCGTCAGCAAGAGAGGACGCAGGAGGAGACGGCAGGGGAACTCGTAGTGGAACAGAGGAAGGACGAAGTTCCATAATGTGAGTGCCGGGGACACGAGGAGGACGCGGACGAGGAACACGGCAACCAGTGCGAACAGCACGAACAGGCGAGGCAGGATGAGACTCAGGCTCACGACGCTCTGTAAAAGAGTCTGTCTGCTCAGCGTAAGGAGAAGGAGCAAGCAATGGGGAGTCTGGGTGTAACTGTGGCTGCGACTGGTGAGGCGGTGGACTCAGTAAGCTATGAGTAAGGCCAGTGGAAGACGAGAGACTAAGAACCTGGCGAAGGACCGAGCCGGGTGGCGGCAGAGACGACGGCGGCGGCGGAACGAAAAACGGTCGCCGCTACCCAGTGCCTCCAGCACCAGTACCGCCAGCTCCAGCACCCCCAGCGCCAGCACCTCCCGCTCCACGGCCTCCAGCTCCAGCGCCTCCAGCTCCTGGGTCTCTAGCTCTAGTGTCTCCAGCTCCAGCGCCTCCAACTCCAGGGCCTCCAGCTCCAATGCCTCCAGCTCCAGCGCCTCCAACTCCAGCGCCTCCAGCGCCAGTGCCTCCAGCTCCACGGGCTCCAGCTCCAGTACCTCCACCTCCAGGGTCTCTAGCTTCAGTACCTCCAGCTCCAGGGTCTCCAGCTCCAGTGCCTCCAACACCACCAGCTCCGGCAGCTCCAGTCACTCTAGTACCAGCACCTCCAGGACCACCAGCTCTAGCACCTCCAGCTCCAGTGCCTCCAGCGGCAGGGCCTTTAGCTCCTGCAGCACCATTCCTAAGGCGTGTGCACCGAGCAAACCACTCACGCAGGTGCCGCGGTGAGAGAGGCTCCCGCCGGCGAGAGTGTCATGGCGAGGCACCCGCAGGACCTCCGACAGACGCAGTACCCCTACAGCACCCCCTGACTCCGCACCCTCAGACTCAGCGCCCCCAGGCTCCGCACCCTCAGTCTCAACACCCCCAGGCTCCGCACCCCCAGGCTCAGCACCCCCAGGCTCCGCACTCGCAGGCTCAGCAACCCCAGGCTCCGCACCCACAGGCTCAGCACCCCAAGACGCAGCACCACCCCCAGCAGCACCAGAGTCTACAGTGACCTCGATAGGCTCAGCCAAGGGGAGTGGGTCTACCTGAGACACACCTGAGGGAGCAGGACCCTGAGGGGGGAGGGGGTCTACCTGAGGGGGACCTGGAGCGAGGAAGGCGGCGGGGGGGGGAGAGGGGCAGTGCGGTAGGGGAAGAGACGGTAAAAGGGAACCGACTTGTCAAACGTGACGTCTTGAGAGGGCAGGTCAAGGCGCGAGGTGGGGTGGTAAACCTGCCAGCCAGGCGCGTCAGGGGGAAAGCCAAGGAAGACGCAGGGAATGGCGCGGAAGGAGAGCTTGTCCGCGGAAGTATCGCGGACAAAGGCACGAGAGCCCCAGACCCGGAACACTGACGCATCGCCAACCTTCCCCGTCCAACGCAGTGTAGGCGAGGTCTCCGGCAAGGAGACACAGGGCTAGAGGTTGAGCTGATGCGCAGCGTACGGAACCGCAAATGGCCACAAAAAATGGGGAGCATCCGCATGGATCATGGAGGTACGAGCCACCTCCATGACTAAGCCAATGCGGCGCTCAGCAACCCCATTTTGCTGCAGGGAGGCCGGAAGCGTGAACGACTGGAGAATGCCCTCCCCACGACAAAAGTCCCGCAAGAGGTCAGAGGAGAACTCACCACCTCTGTTAGAGTGCAGACGCAGGACCGGAAGGTCCTCACGGAACCGCTTGCGGAGCTGGAGACGGACTGCGCGGATCCAAGGGATCAAGACATCAGGGACCTCACCCTTGCTGTGCAAGAGGAAGACCGTGGTGTAACGCGTATAGTCATCAACAACTAGCAGGAATTAGCACTCGCGGCCATATCCACTGACGCGGGCTGGGCCCCACACGTCCATGTGGAGAGTCTGTAGGGGAGCAGTTGTCGGGGGAAACGAGGAGGAGTGAGGAGCGGCGCGCTGCCGCCCCTCGACGCAAGGAAGGCAGGGTGGGGCAGGCGAGGGCGGGAGCCAGAGACCTGGGGAGACCAGAAACAAGGAGGCGGGAGTGCAGGCCACGAAGGTGTAGCAAGGAGGGGTGACCAAGGCGGTGGTGCCAAAGGAGAGTCGGGTGCGACAGGAGGCGACACGAGCAGGGGGCTGCTACCGGACCTAACGCGGACATCTGACCAGACGCAGCTACCTAAGGAGGCTCAGTAGTCAGTGTGTACAGACTCGACCCAGGCTGACAAGTGAACGTGGCCAGGTGACGGCCCGTCCGTGTACACGTGTAGATCGACACACGCTGACCCCCAGAAGTGGTGGTAGTGACCATCGCATCCTGGAGGGCAGCGGTACTCACCAAGTTCGTAGAGAACAAGGGGAGGAGAAGACCTGAGAGTGAGCCAGACAAATTCGTCGAACACAGGAGAACAGTGGAGGAACGTGCAAGAACTGGGCCCCCGGAGGGGTCAGCCAGTCTCACTGGAACAGGTGAATGGAGTGGAGTGAGGGTGGTACTGTCGCGAAAGAAACAGCGGGAAGCACTTGAGTCAAGTGCGAAGGTGTGCAAGGCCTCAGCAGGCGCAGTACCAGGGAGAGCAGACTCACTAGCACCTAGAGCAACAGCCTCTATACCTGGGTCGGGCGGCACACATAGGTAACATTCACCCTCAGCACTAAAACACAAGGCATACATGGCAGCAAGGATAGCATCATATTGAAGAGCAAAGATATCAACACCAGACCTAAGCAGCTCTAGCTAGCGGGGGCGCTCAGCCTCATCGCCAAACTCTGCGCGCCAAGCGTCGTCAAGGCGGGAGAAACACCGGTGCGGTATGTGAAACTTCCCGCATGTCTGACCAGCGCGGTCACCTGTGCGAATGACATAAGCCCCCACACCCGCCACCACTCCCACTGCTACCACCACCGCCGCCACCTCCACCGCCTCCACCGCCTCCACCACCACCACCCCCGCTGCCACCGCCACCACTCTTGCCACCCTTGCCCTTGCCGATGCGGCGCTTCCCACTAAGAGCAGAAGCAGCCCCGACATCCTCAGCACCAAGGATGTCAATAGCAGCAGCAGAAGCGTAGGAGGGGGCAAGGGGGGAGGGGGAACACCCCTCAAAGAAGGGTGTGCGAGGAGTGCCACGAGCAGCACCTACAGCGACTACGCTAGTCTCATCTGCAAGGAGGTGCTTCTCGAGCAGGTCGACAGTGAGGTCTGTGGGGTCAAGTGCGAGAAAATGGTCCCTGACAGCGTGAAGAGAGACAGGGAGGCGGGTGACTATGAAGTAGAGAATGATGTACATCGGGGGCGGGTTCTTGTCTAGGAACTCGGCAGGGAGGGCAGCGCGGTAGCGAGTGTCGCTAATGCGAAGGTGGGTAATGAGGTCCTCGGTTGTGGCAAAGGCTGACCGATCGGGAAAAAGGTAGGGTAGTATAAGGCGGCCGAGAGCAGCAGTGGCAGGGGAAGAGTAACGAGCGACTACAGTGTCGTACAGGGCTTTAACAGTCTTGTGCTAGCCAAAGTGAGCGCGTTCGGGTAACGGCAGGTGGTTATGAACGGCTAAGCGAGCAGCAGCGTCACGGGTAAGCCACTGTGAGCAAGTCGCACTGTCAGTTGTGGCAGGAGGGGCGAGAGAGGCTCCAGACGTGTGGTCAAAAACCGAAACGCCGTCTTTAGAATCGCTCAGTAGGTACAGCTGCAAGTCGTCGAGCCACGTATCGAACTGGATCGGACGGCCCTCATGATCGAAGGTGAGGACACTGAGAGAAGCCATAGCGGGCAGAGCAGGGTGGTGCGCGACCAGAAGGGCGGCGCGCGGGCAGGGAAGGGCGGTGCGGCTGCCAGCAGGGCGGCGCAGCTGCTAGCAGGGCGGCGCGCGGGCAGCAGGGCGGCGCGCAGTAGCAGGGCGTCGGCCAGCAGGGCGGCGCGCAGAAGGGCAGGCAGCAGCAGGGCGGCGCGGGCAGCAGGGCGGCGCACAGCAGGGCGGCGCGCGGGCAGCAGGGCCTTGGGCAGCAGCAGGGCGGCGCGCAGCAGGGCGGGCAGCAGTAGGGCGGCGCGAGCAGCAGGGCGGCGCGCAGCAGGGTGGTGCGGGCAGCAGGGCGGCAGCCAGCAGTGCGGCGCGCGAGCAGGGCAGGGCGACACACGGGCAGGGCAGGGCGGCACGGCTGCCAGCAGTGCAGCGCGCAGGCAGGGCAGGGCGACGCGACAGGCAGGGCAGGGCGACGTGCGGCCAGCAGGTCGGTGCGACAGGCAGGGCAGGGCGGGGCAGGGCAGCACGACTAGTGGGGCAGCGCTAAGTGGTGGGCCCTAAAAAAAACGGTCCTGGAACAGGACCTGCTATGAAACCATGTCAGAATACTGAACGAGGATGAATGCATTGAGCAGAAAGTTGGTACAAGTACTAACCCCAATTAGGTTGTACCCCTTATGGGCTACCCCATTACAGCCTACACAATGTAAGTATTCTAACATTTTGACAAAACCAGCAGGTTAGCTATTGTTCTAGATGAGCTGCCTAGGACGGGTTGTTGCATGCCCTCCTCTTGGACCAAAGTGTGGCGAACGCATTTGTCCACGTCCAACCCCTGCCATCCATCTTGATCCTACTCAGCATCTTCTTCTCTTCTGCATTTTTTTCTCGTGAACGTTTCTTACGAGCAGCCCCCATTTTCCGCATGTAGATCTTCGCATGAAGCCTGGAAGCAGCCTCTGCTCTCCACAGAACCCGCTGAACTTCTGCCCCCGAAAAACTGCATCGCACCTCTCCACCCATATATGATGTAGGACGCCCGACGTGAGAGTAAGCTCCAGAAAAGCTGACCTGGTACCCGTTTTCCGGAACAGCATGTCATCCAGCGAGGCTGTCGGACGGTTGGGATTTAGCATGCGCAGGGCACGACGGAGAGCCGAGGTGACCACTTGTATCCTGGGGTAGAGGAGAATGTCAGAATCTCAACCACTAGACCATTGGGATAAAAGAGCTTGTTAAGTAGCGGGTCAGTGCGCCCATAACCCCCTAGGACAACGAGCCTGTAACCCTTCCCTAGGATCAATCGGGGATCACAAGTGGACCTCTGACAGAGAAGGCAATGTTCCAGGGTTTCCTCCTCCCCACAGTACGGACAAGTTGGCTTGCAGCTGAGGAAAGCCAATCTCTCCCCCACTTGCAAATGAAGTGGAATATACTGCATACTAGCCCCGTTCTCACACATAGTAAATATTTCAACATGTCTCATGATGCGCTTCAGTCAATACATAAGTTTTAGTTTTTTCTTGGAGCTTTTTCTGGGAATATATATTGATAAAATTGGTGTACTAGTCTCAGTTGGCTTACATTGTCAAAGTTTTACCAGTGTATGTAATTAACACACTACTATCTCAATAATACGTACATGTTGCGACTTAGAATACGTACATCTAGCCAACTGAAACTGAGAATAATAAAAAAACATCGGTGTACTAGTCTAAGTCGGTGTATCGCAATAATACGTGCAAAGTCAATGTAAGCCAACTGAGACTAGCCACACTGATAGTAAAATTACTGTCAAAGTTTACCAGTACGTATGTAAGCCACACTGGTAAAGTTGGTGTACTAGTCTCAGTTGTCTCAAAATTTTTGTTCTTCCTCCTCCAGAACCTCTGTCCGTTGTCAAACCCTAGGCAAACCCAAACGCCAGACCACCGTGTGAAGGAGGAAGCGCAGCAACGAACTCTCGAAAGTTTCCCTAGGAAGTGTGAGGGCACCAGGGAGGTAGCTCGTCTGACGCTGCTGGGATTGTGTCCTTCTCGACACGGCGTCAAACAATCGCTTTGCGTGCTAAGCGACTCGCCGATTTTTTTTTTTTAAGCCAATGGCGCAAGCAATGTCACTCGCGTCGGGGTTGTCGCTTGTTTCAGCTCCTCGTGTTTCCCTGCAGAGCTCCGTTGCTTTGCGATCGGGTAAGGCATTTAGAACTGGTTCGTAAGGAAAGCGTTTCGAGCCGAAGGTTCGAAAGTGAGTATGACAAGCGTCATTTTCAATTTAGTAATGGCTTCGAGCATACCTATTTCTTGAGACCCAGTAGGATGGAATGCTTCGCTTTCATAATGTATTTGTTCGATCGTCAGAGTGCGAACCTTGTCCTGAGTCGACGTGACTGCACTAACCTGTTAGTTCCGTATACTGAAATCTATGATCGATGAATTTGTTCGTTTGTTTGGCTCTTGAAGGGCCTGTGCTAGCCGTTCAATGTGTGCCATCTGTTTCTCCATCTAACGAGCGATTAAGGCAGCTAAACCGCTGCCTTTAACCCTATCGGAAACAAAGTGTCAATTGCACTCCTGAAGCAATGTATATCCGTACCCGCTGTCAGCCATTCGCTCTCCCGCTCTGCTTCTCCCCATCCGCTCTTTCTATTCTTGGACAATGAAAACTTTCCCGCTCTTCCCTCCTATTTGGTGACCTTCATTCCGCTTTGGTGCTCTGGCAGCTTACTCCGTTCATGTGCCTTCCGTCACCGCCACCCGCATCCACAGCGATACTAAGGTGCGATTCCGTCCAACATCGCCGTTGGTCAACCGCCATCCATCACCGCCGTCAATCACCGCCATCCATCACCGCCGTCAATCAACGGACTGCGTCAGACTCACCGCGTCAGTCATTTCCGACAGTCACTTCCGTCGGCCACCGCGTTAGTCGCACTCGCAACCGTCGGGCACCTCCTTCCGCCTCCACGGCGATGCTAAGGATCGTCGTCGCTCGAATAATGGCTTGTGCTTCCTCGCGGCATTCCGCAGATTCACTTGGACCAAAGTTTTTGAGACGTCTCAAAAGCATTCCGCACATTCGCTTGCACCTAAGACTTTTTTCAACCAGCTCTCTACCTCCTCGCCTTCCGTTTTGCCCCTCCCGACCCTCCCCTTCCTGGCTCCCGTCCCATTTCCTTCCTTACTCTACCACCCCTGCGCCCTCCTCGTGCGTCCATATCTCACGCTTGCACTCACCCGTATCCATCGATGTCCATAGCTTGCCTTCCGTTTTGCTCCTCCCGACCCTCCTGTTCTTGTCCGCCTTCCCATGTCGTGCCTTCCTTACCATTTCTTAGGCGCTTCAAAATTCGTCTCAAAAGCCCCTCGCCTTCCGTTTCGGTCCCGTGACCCTCCCGCTCGCCGCCCCCGTCCCATTCCTTCCTTGCTCCTACCATCCCTGTGCCCTCGTGCGTCTATATCTCCTCCCGCACGCGCTGACCCATCTCCATCCATGTCCGCAGCTTGCCTTCCGTACTGGTCGTCGATGCTGAATCCTCCTGGTCTCTACCTGCAGCTTGTCTTCCTGGTGATTACCGCTTTCAGCGCCTTTACTGTGGCTTCGCATTTTTCCACTCCTCCCCTCCCCTCGCGCCCTCGCCCCCCTTTCCCGGAATTTTCCTTCTCGCCATCTATCGGCAGCGGCGCGCAGTGACGTGTCAAGCCGTGGTCGTGGCTGCTGCTGACGGCGCACCTGCCCCACCTGCGTGTGAGTTCTCTGTGATGCTTTGGAAAAGTGATGCTTCTGAAAAGCGACGCTACTGAAAAGCGACGCTATTGAAAAGCGATGCTTCTTTCGTCTTGCTTTTCGTTTCTTCCGTCTTCCACCCGGCTTCTGTTACGGCATTTCGGTTCCTTCCTCCACCGTGTGTTTCCGACTTAATGCACACACCTTGATCCGTTGTCCTTGCCTTGTCCGCGTTATGCGACCTCCCCCGTCACCCTCCGTGTGGTCTGTCAGCAAAGGCAACACCGTGCGGGTGGATAAGGAGAAGTACCTCTTAGTTGATTCAAGTGATTTCTGTGTCCTGTCCATGTGATACCAATCCCGTGCTCCTCCGTGTGAGCAGTTGGCAAGGGCAACATTGTGCGGGTGGACAAGGAGAAGTACCTCAGCAGCGTGGAGGTAAGGGGTTACTCAGGGAGTGGGTGAGGGTGAGAGGGCATTTGGGGGTATGAGAGCATGGGGGGTAAGAGGGCATTGGGGGTATGAGAGCATTGCCACTCCTCCCTCTCTTCCCGACGTTCTCTTTCCACTCCCCCCCACCCTCCGCATTCCGCGCTGCCCTTTGCCCTCTTCCTTTCGATCCGTCTTCCTCTATCCGCCCTTCGTCTTTGTCCTCGTTCCTCCGTCTCTCTTTATCTGCACTCTTCTCTCCTTGCCCTCCTCTTCCCCACCACCCCACCCCCCACACCACACCCCCCCCCCTCCCGTCGTCTTTTTCATCGCCATCCGTGTGTCAGTTCAAGGCAATGAAACGTCCGTTCATCTTTATGCGCAGTCCCTCTCCACCCCCCTCACGTCCCCCTTCACCCTCCCCCTCCCCCTCCCCCTCCCTTCCTCCTCTCCTTACCCACGTTCGCACATTTCCCTGTTGTGACGTTGCAAAACAGTCGTCTCTTTCCACGTTCCTTCAACTAAGGCAGTGAACAATTCACCTTTCTTAACTGACAATTTCCCCTCCTCTTCCCTGTGTTTCCCCCCTTTATCGCCTGCGTTTCCCCCTCTCTCCCCTGCGTTTCCCCCTTTCTCCCATGCGTTTTCTCCCCTCTCCCCTGTGGTTCCCCCCCTCTCTCTTGCGTTTCCCCCTTTCTCCTTTGCGTTCCCCCCCCTCTCCCCTGCGTTTCCCCCCTTCACCCCTGCGGTTCCTTTCTCCCCTCTCCCCTGCCTTTCTCCCCTCTCCCCTGCCTTTCTCCCCCTCCCCCTTGCGTGTCCTCCCTCTATCCCCTGCGTTTTCCCCCCTCTTTTTTGCGTTTTCCCCCTTCTCCCCCTGCGTTTTCCCCCCTCTTCCCTGCGTTTCCCCCCAATTCCCTTCGTTTTCCCCCCTCTTCCCTGCTTTCCCCCCCCTCTTGCCTGCGTTTCCCCCCTCCTCTTCCCTGCGTTTTCCCCCCTCTTCCCTGCTTTTTCCCCCTCTCCCGTCTCCGCCCTTCCTCTCTTCCTCTTCTATCCCGTCTACCTTTCCCCATTCCCTCCATCATGCCTCCTTGTGCACTTCCGCTGCGCCCACTCCCCCTCTCCCACTTCCCTCACGCCCACTCCCCCTGCTCCCGCTTCCCCTTCTCCCACTCTCCCTGCTCCCGCTTCTCCCACTTCCGCTTCCTCTCCCCCGGCCCCGCTCCCCCCTCTCCCGCTCCCTCCCCGCCCACTTCCCCCTTCCCCCACTATCCTCCTGCACCCCCCTCGCTCACGCCCCCCGCCAGTTCAAGGCAGTGGACCATCCGCCCTTCTTCACGGGTCTGGACTACATTTACCAGGCCAGAGGCGAGGTGAGGCACGGAAGGGCTATTAGAGGTTATGTGGGATGCAGTGAGGTTGGTACTGGTTGTCATGCCACCATCCGCCCTTCTTCACGGGGCTGGACTACATTTACCAGGCCAGAGGCGAGGTGAGGCGCGGAAGGGCTATTAGAGGTTATGTGGGATGCAGTGAGGTTGGTACTGGTTGTCATGCCACCATCCGCCCTTCTTCACGGGGCTGGACTACATTTACCAGGCCAGAGGCGAGGTGAGGCGCGGAAGGGCTATTAGAGGTTATGTGGGATGCAGTGAGGTTGGTACTGGTTGTCATGCCACCATCCGCCCTTCTTCACGGGGCTGGACTACATTTACCAGGCCAGAGGCGAGGTGAGACCGTGAGGGGGGCACTGAGGGGAAGGTGAGGCGGACACTGGGGGGTGAGGTGTGCACTGGGGGGTGAGGGCGCGCACTGGGGGGTGAGGGGGCCACTGGGGGGTGAGGGGGCGCACTGGTTGCTGTGTTGTGGGAAGTACCCGTGGTAGGGCTTTAAGTACCCAACTGTGATGGGAGCTGATGCATATGTGGAGAAAGACGCTCTGCCAGGCGAGCGTCCTGCGTCCGGACGCTATTGACTAGAATCGCATTCTTTTCTCCCGTCTATCCTGCCTGTCTCCGCTCGTCCAGCTCTTGGACCTCAGAAACTTGTGTGCTGGACAGTGTGCTTTACTGTGTCGGTTCCTTTTTGGCGCCTAAAGAGACGTTCTCTTCCCCCTTGTATCCTACCTGCCTACCCAAGAGACGTCCTACCTTGAACTTCAAGGATTTTTCTTTCTGAATGCACTAAGAAATTTTATCCCTTCTATCCTGCCGGTCTCCCCTCGTGCAGAGCTTGGACCTCAAGGAATTCGGCGATTGTTTGGTCGACTCAAAAGTCTCCCCCCTTCCATCCTGCTTGCCTACCCTCTCGTGCAGATCTTGGACCTCAAGGAATTCAGCGGCAACCAGTATGCACTGGTAAGCCATCTGCGGCGGTAGTGTATCTATCTACGTCTGAGAACAGTGCATTTTATGCCCAAGTCTATGTGCATCCTGCATGCATGCGTCCCTCCCAGTTCACGCCAGTCCTAGGAACCATTGTCTCGGAGGACCACCGCTTGCATAGAATCATTAATGACGCTTGAGTCGACTCAAAAGCTTAGTTCAGAAAGACGCGTCCTGCGTCCTGGACGCATGCGTCCAGACGCATGCGTCCAGACGCAGGACGCTGACCCTTGACCTGTAAGACGCACCAAAAGACGCAAGCCCGGGCAGGGCAAAAAAAATCCCCGGGCAGGCCAAAAAAAATAGTATAGGGCTTGGGAGAGGGGGGGGGGGGTGTCATACCACAAAATTTTCCCCAAAAATTTGAGATTAAGGTGAGTCACGTGTCACACATTTCACAGAAGGAATGCTCGAGGAAGCCATAGCGGAGTTTAGGTGGTAAGCTAAGCTAAGACCTAAAACCTCTATGGGTTTACGAAAGAGAATTGGTGAGGGGAAAATGAGAAGCCACAAAAGGTTGCCATGCTAAATGTGCTTGGTGGTGGTGGGCTACAAAGGTTGGGATTCGTAGATGCTAAGTGGTTGAGAGGTTTGAGTGAAATTCAATTTTGGTTTAGTTGTTAGGGAATGTTAGGGGGGCTGGTTTTGAATGGCGAATTGGGCTTGGGGTGGGGAAATTTCGCGATTTCGACATTCGCGTCGAAATCGCGAATGCCAAAATCGCGATCGAAATTTTTTTTTCCGGGCTGCCCGAAAAAAATTTCGACGTGCGTCCTGCGTCTGGACGCGCGTCCTGCGTCCTAGCGTCCGGACGCTGCGTCCGGACGCAGGACGCAGCGTCCTAGCTGCGTCTTTCCGAACTAAGCTCAAAAGTCACCTCATAGAATTATTGGAACGATTCACTCATGCCCAGCAATATGCTTTTGTATGATGATTATTATTATTATTGATTGTATTTTCCGTTGGTCTTTCAGCTTTCTTGGGCTGGAGTGCCTACCCCCCCTGCCTGGCTTCCCACCAGTATGCTCATCAAGGTATGGATGGATTCATGTTCCATGGTAGGTATGATGTATGTTCCATGTATAAAATGGTATGTTTGATGTTTGATGCACGGCTATATGTCCCATGCATGGTTGGTATATTCTATGTTCCAATGTTTAATGTATTGATGGGAACTTGGTATTCTCTTTGTTCCATGTATGGTTATTAAGTTCTATGCATGGGTGGTATATTCCATGCACGTTGGTAATAGTGCTCCATGCATGGATGGATCATTTTCCATACTTGACCGCTAGGTGCCATGCATGATCAGTATGTGCTGTGCATGGGTGCCGTGCGTCATGCAAGGATGGTATGTGCCATGGATGACATCGGCCATGCTGGGGTGTGGCATGATTGTTATGATGGTCGATCTCTAAGGCTATGTGGCAAAAGACGCAGCGTCCGGATGCAGAGACGCAGGACGCGCGTCCAGACGTAGGACGCAACCCAGATTTTTTTTTCGGGCTGACCTTTTTTCTTTTTTGGTTCGCGAAATTGACATTCGCGATTTCGACGCGAATGTCATTTTGGCGAAATTTCGACCCCCCAAAACCATTTCGACCTACTAAAACAGCCACCTAACCCCTTTCTAACCCGTTCATACAAAATTGTGAATCCCAAGTTCCCAACCCTCTCAACCACTCCACATCTAGAAAACCCAACCAATGTGGCATTGTGGCCCACCACCAAGCCCATTTAGTGCTAGAAACCATTCACTTGTGCTCACTCTTTTTAGCTTCCCAATTCTCCTTCGTAAACCCTAATGGTTTAAGCTCCTTTGCGCACGTCGGTTATGGCTAGCTCTATCAACCCTTCGTCTTCCACCGCATCGAAAGATGTCAATGCCGATGGCGATTCTCCCCCCAAGCGTTTCACTAAGGATGGGGTGGAGAAGAAACCGCAAAACCCCACTCACTGTATTTATAGGCATTTTTGGACATTCGACGATCCGACCAATAAGGGGAAGCAGTGCGAGTGCCTTTGGTGCGAGAAATCGTTCGCCTTTAGTAGTAGCCGGTGCACCCAGCATCTTGCCATATGGAATGACGCGAACGTGCGGCGCGAGGCCGGGATTGTTTGCGCGAAGGTTCCTAAGCGCATTTCTGACGACATTCGCGACTAGAAGGAGTCCAAGATTACGGCGCGCAAGGATAAGGAGAGGGTGACGGACGATGCGCTCACTGCAGTGAGCGGCCAAGGCGGAGGGGGACCGAAGGCTAAGAAGGGGCAGATGGAGGATTGGTATGGCGAGGGGGGGATGTCGGCGTAGCGTGCGGCCGACGAGGCAATTTGCCTCTACTTCGCGGGGACGCGCACGGCGGAGCGTTAGTGCGAGCACCCCCTCTTCCTCAACATGCTGCGCGCCGTTGCTGCCGCCGGAAGCAGCTACGTCCCCCCCAAGCGTAGCTACGTTGGCGGCGTCGGGCTGCTGGAGTGCAAGCGGCGAATTGAGACGGGATTGGAGCCCGTTACGAAGACTTGGAAAGAGACCGGCGTGACGATTTCCAGCGACATGATGACGGATAAGAGCGGCGCGCGCAGATGAACATCATTTGTATCAACGCCAGCGGTGTGGTGTTCCAGGAAGCAGTCGACTGTAAGGCGGAGACAAAGAGTGGGACGTTTATTGTTGGCATCCTGCAGCCGATCATCGGGAAGATTGGGCCGCAGCACATCGTCGCGATTTGCATGGACGGCGGCAGCAACTACGTGTCCGCCGGCAAGCTGCTGCAGAAGAAGTACCCGCATCTCAAGATCGTCCCCTGCGCCACTCATGTGCTCGACCTCCTGATGGAGGAGATCGGCAAGATGGATTGGGCGCAAGAGGTCGTCCCAGTTGCGAGCGACATCATCCCGTTCGTGCGCAGCCACATGTGGACGCGTGCCTTCCTGTGGTGTCCCGAACTGCACGGCGAGGAGAGGTCGCTGCAGCAGCTGCGACCGGCGGGCATGCGCTTTGGGACGCAGTTCATCGCAGTGCCTCGGCTGCTCCAAATTCGTTCGCAGCTAACGCAGATGGTGACGCACAAGGATTGGGAGGAGAAGGGAGGTAGCAAGCTGACTGGAAAGACATTTGAGAGGTCGGTGTTGGATGTGGAGTGGTGGAAGAAGGCGGAGACCTTTGTGAAGGTGATGGAGCTGCTGTACAAGGTGATGAGGAGGACAGATGGGGAGGCGAAGGGTAAGATGGGTGAGTTGTACGACATCATGATGCAGCTGACGGAGGAGTTGTCGGAGCTATTGGAGAGCGAGGATTGTCGGCTCAAGAAGGCGGATAAGGAGGGGGTGCAGGAGCACTTGAGGCGGCGTTGGGACGAGAGTTTGGTCTCCCCCCTTCACGTGGTCGGCCGGATTCTGAACCCGGCCAACCAGGAGGAGGGGATCTACCACAAAGACGTTGAGTGCACCAGGGTGATGAAGGCGTGGCTCTCACGCTCGCGGGCATTCGTCGACAAGTACTGGAAGACTGGCGACGACACGAAGGGAACGATGAAGGCGTTGCAGGAGGGGATGTTGGCATATATTGAGGGCAAGGGGTGCTTCGGGGCAGAGGAGGCGATAGAGGGGCGTGCGGGGATTAAGGCCGGAAAGGGGGGCATGGTGACGTGGTGGAAGGTGAACGGCTGGGAGTACGCCGACCTGGCTGGCCTTGCGTGCCGGGCGCCTTTACAGCCCGTTTCTGCATCCCCGTGCGAGCGGGGATGGTCTGTGTGGGATGGCGTGTACACGGCGCGCAGGAACAGGATGGGGTCGGAGAAGGTCCGCGACCTTGTGTTCATTGCGCACAACTGGAACGTTGTGCACAACCACAAGGCTGCGGTTGGTGCAGGGAAAAGTGGTGAAGTCAGGAAGGCGGGGATACAAGCTGGAGGAGGATGGAGAGGTGGAGGTGGACGAGGACGACATGATGCTGGACGAGTACAAGGACCGGGAAGACAAGGAGGAAGAGGAGGAGAAGGAGAGTGAGGAGGAGGATGAGGATGAGTGATGCATGTTAGTGTTAGTATGCAACTCACCATCATGATCTAGAGTTTTGGGGGAAATTTTGTTGTTGGGGAAAAATTTGCAATGAAAGTGGGCTACGGTCCCTTCCCCCCCCCTTCCCGTGCCCTATAAGATTTTTTTTGGGCTGCCCGGGGGTTTTTTTTGCCCTTCCCGGGCCTGCGCCTTTTGCTGCGTCTCAAAGGCCCACATTCTGCGTCCTGCGTCCTGGACGCTGCGTCTGGACGCATGCGTCCAGGACGCAGGACGAGTCTTTTGCCACTTAGCTCTAAGGCATGTATTTTTCTGCCTTCCTTCCTGCCACCGAGTTTCCAGTAAGTATGTTCCACATTTCATACAACGAGTCATGCAATATGGGTAGTGTAGTGTTTGATGCATGGGAAGGAGTTATGCACCACACTTGTTTACTTTCCAGGCGATGTGTGTGTATGGTGTGCATCTGATGCGTCAATGGCGGACAATGGAGTCAACAGACACAAGCTTAGGCACTAGGTTGTTTTGTGTGCAAGGGTGTGGGTTATGTACAAGCGGGTCTTGTTCACTGTGGATATTGATAATTAATCATGTTCATGGTGCCTTTTGAGCCCTTACGAGGCGTTCTTATTGACATTGCCATGCGTTTTGTGTTTGCATTTTTTTGTGCAGGCTCCGAAGCTGGAATACGTGAGGACATAAATGCCCTCAGTTCTCTTGCAGTTATAACAGCTTCACAATACAGTTGTTAAGGTTGTGGTCCGGAATTTGTCATATGGCCTGATGGCATGGGGCTGGTTGTTTGTGGGCAAATCATAAATATTTCAGTTTGATGTTTAGAGAGGGTAGGGTTATCACCGCATGCTTTGCACATTACAAGACTGGTATAACCAGTTGGTATCTTATCTTGGGCTAAATATCTTGCAAGACAGTTTCCATTGGCAGTCATTTCAATCTTCACCAAATTTGAATGACAAAGTTTGGATACGGTATTGTCAAATGTCGTAGTCAGGCCCCTAGATTCGTTTTGAGGCACGCTGATCGATCAGCGTGCACCCCTGTTTGAACTCTATGAGTCAGCGTGGCCCCAAAATTTTAGGCTGAAAAATCAGACGACTCTAAAGTTTTTTAGGCTGAATTTTCAGAGTTAGTTGTACAAAATTCATAAAAAACACAATAAAACATGTCACATATCTGAGTCAGAGTCTGAACCTCTACAGGAGCACGCTCAACCTCTACAGCCTCCTTCCGAGCCCTTGAAGGCTCCCTGTCTCTTGGAGCAGAGCGGTCGTGTTTGCAGGGAAGGTGGGGTGGGGTGGATGTTTGTGGTGCCATAGGAGGCGTAGCGCGCTGAGACAGAGAGCCATGCGTTGGCAACAATTCTTGCCAACGCTGCCTGCTGCGCAACCCTGATTGGCCGCTTTGATGTACCAACGCGACAGTGCGGGGCCTCGCGGGGGAAAACTTGATTTCCCGCCCGTGATTGACAGTGTTACCGGTAATCCTACAGGCTGGCGGAAATCCCTGTATTGCCGGATTCAGTGTGCACCCCCGATACAAGGCTGAGGGCTCAGCCTACACTCATAAAATTAGGCTGAAATTTCAGCTAAGTCATAAAAAAAAACTCTGAAAAATCAGACAAGGTACATTAAAAAAAACTTTGAGTTCAGCCTAGGTACCAAAAAAAGGTCTGAACGAACTCTGAATCAGAGTAAAAAGTCTGATATGTAGGGCCCTGGTTGTAGTCTTAGTGATGTGTGTTATAAGGGGTACAACTGTTAGGGTTGTCAAATTTATATGACATAGCTACTGTAGGCTATAGTGGGGTAGCACATATGGGGTACAGTTTTCTAGGGTTTACATTTTGTACCCAACTTTCCCTTAGTCATTCTCATTCCTCGTTTCTTCTCATGGTATCGAGCAGGTTCCCTAGTGGGAACGATTCCTAGGGCCCACCACCACGAAATTTTTTTTTCCTGCCCGGAGCGCGCTTCGCTCCGGCCCGAGTCGCGCCCTGTGTGCTCTCCCTACCGTCGCGCCCTCGCTAGGCCCCTCACGGCCCCGTCGCGTCGCCCTTAGCGGCCCTCTCACGGCTCCCTAGCGCCGCCCTTACGGCTCGTCGCGCCGCCCTTACGGCCCGTCGCGCCGCCCTTACGGCCCGTCGCGCCCGTCGCGCCGCCCTCACGGCCCCTCGTGCCGCCCTTACGGCCCGTCGCGCCGCCCTTACGGCCCGTCGCGCCCGTCGCGCCGCCCTCACGGCCCCTCGTGCCGCCCTTACGGCCCCTCGTGCCGCCCTTACGGCCCCTCGCGCTACCCTTACGGGCCCTCCCGCGGCCCCTTCGGCCCCTCCCGTCGCTAGTCGGCCCCTTACGGCCCCCCCTCGCGGCCCCTCGAGCCGCCTTCCGCGGCCTTCTCACGGCCTGTCGCCGCCCTCGACGACCCCTCGTGGCGCCCTTCACGGCCTCTCCGCCGCTCTTCGCGGCCCCTAGCGGCCGGCAGCCGCCGTCCCTGAGGCAGCAGCCGCAGCCGTCTCTGCAGCAGCAGTCGCCACAGCTTCTGCGACTGCTGCCGCGGTCGTCACCAACCACACCAGCCGCCGAGCCGCCCAGCAGCCGAGCACCCGAGCCGCCGAGCCGTCCTGCAGCCGAGCAGCCGAGCCGCCGAGCCGCCGAGCCGCCCAGCAGCCGACCGGCGAACCGCCCGGGCCGCCGAGTTGCCGAGCCGCCCGAGCCGCCCGAGCCGCCCGAGCTGCCGAGCCGCCCGAGCCGCCGTCCTGCCGAGCCGCCGAGCCGCCGAGCCGCCCGAGCCGCCCTGTCCGGTAAGAGCAGCGCCTCTATCACTGCACTGCCCTTACCCTACTGTTCACACTGCTAGTCTACTGCTGTCATGGCTACCCCTAGTGTCCTCGCCTTTGACGCTGAGGGTCGGGCCATTGACTTTGACGTCTGGGTAGATGACCTGCAGCTTTTCTTACAGTGCGATAGGGCAGACGGTCTCTCCCTCTTTGACCTCACCTCTGGTGCCTCTCCTGCCCCTGCTGCTGATGCCGACGCCACTGTTCGCTCACAGTGGGCCACACGCGATGCTGCTGCACGTCTAGCTGTGCGTCGCCACCTGCCTACCTCTGAGCGTGCGCACTTTAGCCAGTACAAGAGTGCTCACACCTTGTACGACGCTGTAGTTGCGCGCTACTCCTCCCCTGCCACTGCTGCACTGAGCCGCCTCATGCTACCGTACCTCTTCCCTGACCTTGCTGCCTTTCCCACAGTCGCTGACCTCATTACGCACCTCCGCACTAGTGACACTCGCTACCGCGCTGCGCTTCCTGCTGAGTTCTGCGCCAAGAACCCCCCCCCCATGTACATCACCCTCTACTACATAGTCACCCGGCTCCCTGACTCCCTTCGTGTAGTCAGGGACCACTTCCTCTCAGTTTGCCCCACCACTCTCACCGTTGACCTCCTCGAGAAGGCCCTCCTAGCAGCAGAGAAGAGCATAGTGGCTGTAGGAGCCTCTCGTGGTGACCCTCGCATCCCCGTCTTTGAGGGGTGTTCCCCCTCCCCCCTTTTGCCCTCTGTTGCCTCTGCTGCTGCGGCCGACCTCGTTGGTCTCGAGTCGGTCGGCGTTGCGTCTGCCCCGAGCGGGAGACGCCGCACCGGCAAGGGCAAGGGGGGCAAGGGTGCTGGAGGGGCTGGCGGGGGTGGCGGAGGTGGCGGTGGCGGCAATGGAGGGGGTGGGGGTGGTGGTGGGAGTGGTGGCGGGGGTGGAGGTGTCGGTGGCGGCAGTGGAGGCGGAGGCGGCGGCGGCGGTGGCGGTGGGAGCGGAGGTGGCGGAGGTGGCGGCGGTGGAGGAGGCGGCGGCGGAGGAGGTGGAGCTGGTCGGGGTGGCGCTGGGCAGAGGGTCGGCTCCGGTGGTGGTCAGCGCCAGCAGCAGCAGCAGCAGCAGCGGCAGCAGCGCACTCGTGACATCCCCCCCCCTCAGCAGCTCCGTGAGTGGTACGCTGCACGCCAGCGGGGTGGGGGTACTGGTCCGTGCACCTACGTCCTACGCACCGGCGACCGCGCGGGTGAGCAGTGCGGGGGTGCGCACTCCACCCAGCGCTGCTTTGGCCGCCTGACGGACGCTTGGTGTCACCAGTTCCCTGAGGCCACTGAGATCCCCCGCTGGGGCGAGCTGTCTAGGGCGGGTGTAGCTGTCTTTGACCTTGACTTTGATGCTATTCTTGCTGCCATGTATGCTGTGACTATTAGTGATGAGGGTGACTGTTACCGGTGTTTTCCGCCCGACCCGGGCATTGAGACTGCTGCTCTAGGTACTGGTGAGGCTGCTGCTCTAGGTGCTAGCGAGGCTGCTGCTCTAGGTGCTCGTGCGTCTGCTCACTCAGGTGCTGGTGAGTCTGCTCTCTCAGGTACTACGTCGGCTTCGGCCTCCCACACCTTCACTCTTGACTCGGGGGCTTCTCGCTCCTTCTTTCGAGACCGCACCACACTCACGCCGCTTGGCCGGCCAGTTGCAGTCTCTCTGGCAGACCCCTCTGGGGGTCCTGTCCTTGCTCACTTCTCCACTGTCCTCCCGTGTCCGGCGGCCCCCTCTGGCACCCTGTCTGGTCTTTACCTCCCCTCGTTCTCTACAAACTTGGTGAGTGGTGCTGACCTACAGGATGCGGGGGTTCACCAGTTCACTCCTGCGAGTCAGCGGGTGACCCACTGCACGGACGCTCGGACAGGCCGACACCTGGCCACGTTTACACGTCGGCCGGGGTCGAGCCTGTACACACTGACCACTGCGTCTCCTCCAGTCACTGCGTCTGGTCAGGTAGCTGCGTCGGGTCAGGTGTTTGCTGCAGCGTCCAGGTCTGGTCCTGAGTCTGCCCCCTGTTCGTGTCGCCTCCTGTCGCACGTGACTCTCCTCTGGCACCACCGCCTTGGTCACCCCTCCCTGCTTCGTCTCCGAGGCATGGCCTCCCGTGTCCTTGTCTCTGGTCTTCCCCGGTCCCTCCCTCCCCTTCCTCCG